CAACCTTTTTTTGAGTGTTACATGAACACAAATTCTATAACAGCAAATAAGAAGTACTTCCAGCTAGACATGAGTGCACATCATATTGGCTAAGGACAGAGAAGGGGCCTCCCTAACAGTGTCAGAAACAGCTATTAGGTTCCTCACCAAGATGGGTTTACTGGGAATTAGCCAGCACCGTAGTGTGCTGCACATTGAGAAGCCAAACCCCGATCACCTGCAACAGTGATGGAACCACAAGCCACTGCTATTGCTGCCTCCACCTTGCCCACGTACTCCATTGTGCCCATCCATTTGGTCGTCCATGTTCCTGACAGTCCATTCCTGACCTCCTTATTTCAAATGTTCCACTGTTCCCAGTATCTTCACCCTCTTGAGCCTCCTCCCCTCTCCGGTCTATGTGACTCCAAGACTCCTGGCCCTAGGACCTGCTCTGCCTTATGCCACCTCTCCCCCAACACCCACACTTTGCTTTCCACCAGCACTGACCCTGATATGAAGTCCAGATCCACTTACTGAAGCTGCAGTGGCCTGATTTGTCTGTAATATCTTTGCCAGTCGGTACAGCACCTTCACAATAAGCACCAATATCAGGGGCACCTCAGAACTCATCATGGTGGGCAATGCCTGATCTGCTCATGTGTTTGAATATCTATGACATTTCCTCTCTTAAATTGTGTATCCTTCATTTTGTCCGCAGTCTGTTTGCTCAATATTTTTTTTTCTCCAGACGTTGATGAATGTGTCCAACATCGAGACATCTGCAATCAGGATGCACTCTGTGTGAATACTCTGGGATCATTCCTTTGTGTTTGTCAAAGTGGCTATTTTGGTGATGGGAAGCAATGCATAGGTAAGGAATGTTCTCCCATTTAATCTTGCTCACTAAATACTGCATCAATTACTGGATGAAAGGCATTGATATTAAGGCAGGTTAAAGGGACCCGACACTAGATGCGGCATCAGGTTCAGCCAGTGATCTCTTCTCAATTGAATCTGGTTGCTTTAAACCACCTCTTCCTGTTGGCCAGGCGAGAAGTGTGTGAAACTAACCTTGGCATTATCTTAGTTGAATTCACATTCCAAAATTAAACAGAATCCAACACGAATCACAATTTCATTGAGAGCAAAGTTTCATGTTAGTGCAGAGAAAGCAGAGTTTTTCCATCCTGTTCCTGATGGACATTAAATACAGAACTTTCCCAGTGATGCCCACATCCCATAAATGAATAAAATCTCCATTCTCCAGCATCAACATCCCATAATTTAAAATTAAGGTGTTCCCTTACCCTGGACTATTGCCACTGGAATTATCTTGCTATTATCTCTCCGCCTGTATATTCCCGAGGAAGGGGCTGACCTCCTTGCGTTTTCAAATAAACCTGTTAGACTATAACCTGGTATTGTGTGATTTTTGATCAAATATTCATCACGTTGAATCTAACCCACAGGCAACTTAATCTCAGAAAACAATTTATTTGCCCGTGAAGAGTGGGCATTGCTAGAAGGTTAGCATTTATTGCCCAGAGGGTAGGTAAGAGCCAACCACATTGTTGTGGGCCTGGGGTCACATGTCGGCTGGACTAGGTAAGGATGGCAGATGTCCCTCCCTAAAGGACATTAGTGAACCAGATGGGTTTTTGCTACAATTCACAATGGTCACAATTAGGTTAACTATATCATTACAGTTTTTTTAATTGAATTCAAGTTTCACCATGTACCATATGGTGGGATTCAAGCTCGTGCCCATGCACTTCCCTCCACTTCACCTGACGAAGGAGCAGTGCTCCAGAAGCTTGTGATTTCTTGTTCTTGGGTTTAGCTATATGCCTGTAAACAACTAAGTAGGATCAGGTGCAAAAGGAACTCCATCCCTTCTGTTAAAACATGTCTCTTCACCATGATCTCACTGGCTAAGACCACAGCCAAAATGCTGTCAATCTGTCATCATTGCTGCCTAACCAGCGGAGTGTATTGTCAAAGATCTCTCCACGTGTTGGGATTCATTCAGCTTGTGTCCACTGGTTCAGCACCTTGGTCAGCAGCGAGGCATTGCTCAGCAAAGTTAGTACAGAGAGGCTGGGATCTGTGCCTGACCATCTCATGGTCCTGCTGTTGATCCCAGGTACCAATCTGAGCCCCTCATCATGGGGCCATTAACACATCTACCTGTTCACCTACGGGTATTTACATTTTTTCGTTTCCCTAACAATACACCCTTGCATTTATGTAGCACCTGGTTAAATAAAATCCCAAGTTGCTTCACAGAATCTGACACTGACGCATAGACATTAGATGAAAAACCTGGATGAAGCTGTAGGATTTATGGAGCATTTTAAAGGAGAAAAGGAGAGCAGCAGAAATTGAATGAGGGAATTCTAGAACTGGAGAGTTAAGAGATTAGAGGGAACAAAATTGAAATGTAAGCACTTTCCTTAAACATACACTAACTAACAAAACTAAATACCCTGCAGAAATACCCCGCATCAAAGGTTCATGATGTGGAGGTGCCGGTGTTGGACTGGGGTGGACAAGGTCAAAAATCACATGATACCAGGTTATAGTCCAAGCTTTAGGACAATATCCCTGAGGAAGGGGCTGAGATCCTTGCGTTTTCAAATAAACCTGTTAGACAATAACCTGGCGTCATGTAATTTTAATCAAATATTCATCACTTTGAATCTAACCCATTTGCAACTTAATCTCAGAAAACAATTTATTTGCCCATGAAGAGTGGGCACTGTCAGAAGGTTAGCATTTATTGCCCAGAGGGTAGATAAGAGTCAAACACATTGTTGTGGGTCTGGAGTCACATGTAGGCCAGACCAGGTAAGGATGGCAGTTTCCTTCCTTAAAGGACATTAGTGAACCAGATGGGTTTTTGCTATAATTCACCATGGTCACAATTAGGCTAACTATATCATTACAGTTCTTTTTAATTGAATTCAAGTTTCACCATGTACCATGGTGGGATTCAAGCTCGTGACCCTAGAAACCTAGCTGACATTACCACTGCACCATCACCTCCTGCAAACCAACACAGCAATGCATGTTGTTTGAGTCATTCAGCTTGGGATATACCCTGATGGATGATTCCTATTGGAATGAACTCAGGGAGTGATGCAGCCTCTTTCCTTGTTACAGTATTTAATTCAAATGATTCAGTTACATTTTCCAGGAAGACGAATTAATGTGGGCAGAGATTTGCTTTCTCTTTGTTGCAGCTGCCAGTGTTTGGACCCCCTGGTCTCCGTGGTCAATCTGCACTGCTACGTGTGGGAGTCAGAACCAGATGCGGATTCGCATGTGCACCCACCCTGAGAGTGGAATGCGCTGTGAAGGCCCCTCAGCAGAACTGCAGCCGTGTCAGGAACGTGAGCCTTGCCCAGGTACGCTCACTGCAAACAAACATGGAAGAGAAGCTGCATTTCACTCCCAATCCTGGGTGCCAAATTAAAGTGATTTGCGAATGAAGTAAAAGTGGTGTAAGAGAAAATGGTTTGGGTCAATACACTGCCTGGAAATGTTGTGGACAAAGGTCCAGTCGAGGCAATCAACAGGCTATTAGATAATTAGAAACAATGGCAGCGTTATGGGAAAAAGACAGGAAAATGGCACCAAGTCATGATGCTCACTCAGAGAATCGGTACTGATATTGTGGGCTGAATGGCCTCTTTCTGCTCCAATGCCACAATTCTGAACCTCAATCCCTGAGTTCCCACGGGAGCCTTTTTCAACCTCCTGTAATTTCATAAATTCTGAAGGTATTTGAAAATTGTTCTCCCACTTCTCTCTGCCACGGCCTTTCTTATTCTAACTTCTTTTAAGCTCCAAAGACATCCTCCCTAAAACCACACCCCCTTCCACATTTTCTTGAACTGTTTGCCCAAGGAAGGAGACACAGGCCAAAGAAGGCATCATCATCACAGTCAGGGAGAGTAGGAAGCGGGTAGCAGGATAGACTGGGGAAATTGGGACTGTTCTCCTTGGAGAGGTAGAAGCTGAGAGGAAATCTGATAGAGGGTTTTCAAACTCATGAGGGCGCTGGACAGAAGAGATAGGGAGAAACTGATTCCGTTCGTAAACAGAATGAGAGGGCACAGGTATAAGGAAATTTGCAAAAGAAGTGAATGCAAACTGAGTAAAAATCTTTTTCACTCTATGAGTAGTTAGGGTGAGGAATGCACTGCCTGGAGATGAGACAGGTTCAATTGAGATATTCAAGAGGGTATTGGATGATTATTTGGATAGAAACAATATACTGAGTTATGGGAAAAATAGCAAGGGAATGTCACTAAGTGATAATGCACAGAGAGCTGATACACACGTGATGGACCAAATGGCCTCCTTCTGCACTGTAACATTTCAGTGATTCTGATTCTAAGAAAATGAGGAAAAGTTTAGTCTGAAAGACAAAACTACATTTCTCTATTCAGTGAATAAAGCAATATTGGTGTTCCCTGTGAGTTCAGGGAGGATAATATGGCCAGATCTGTCAGTCCTTGTTTTATGGTGCTGAGAAAACATGATTAAAGTTTTACTGGGTTTGTGACAGTATCACTTTGAGAGAAAAAACAATTATGTTGCGGCGATTCACTGTCAGAAATATTCTGAATTGTGGAACTGAGTACATTGAGAGAGAGTTTTCAATTTAACATTTTTCACTTTAAAAGAGTGGAATGGCTGTGATTTGCTGCTGGAAGCACAATGCCTATTTCTATTGACATTCACCTTAATAAAGGCCAGGCTTCAGTCCAACAACTTTATCCAATGAACTTTGAGTGAACTTACCCATTCGTTACAGACATTATTTAAAATTTGTAGAATCCCAGAACAATCTAGTTACACTTTAGCTGTGCTGTGAATACAATAATGCTGTAATAGTCCCTTCCTTAGAAGTTTGTCATGTTATATAAATGGTGTGTCTTGCCTGAAGGTCACTCAATAAAACACTTCTGTCTTTCACAGTTAATGGACAGTGGTCAGAATGGTCTCCCTGGTCAGCCTGTTCTGCCTCCTGTTTTGGGATCAAGACAAGAGTTCGTATCTGTGACAAGCCTGCTCCAGCTTACGGTGGGTTCATGTGCAGTGGACCTACGGAGCAAAGCACAAACTGTGGGAATGGTGACTGTGCAGGTAAGATTATGATGATGTAATACCTAACCTCAATGGGTCCATTTACTAGAATAGCATGAGTACTGTGTGATATTCTGGGGGGATGATGGTATAGTGGAAGCGTCCCCTGAACTAATAATGTAGCAGCCCAAGCTAATGTTCTGAATGTGGGAATGTCAAATTCTTGCAAGGCAGATGTTTCTTTCTCACTTCAAGAAAGCAGCTCACCACCAGCTTCTCAAGGGGCAACTAGAGACAGGTCATAAATACTGGTCCAGCCAGTAATGCCCATGTCCCACAAGTGAACTGTTTATAAAAAATCATTCACAGGATATGGGTGTCCCTGGATAAGTAAACATTTATTGCCCATCCCAAGTTGCCCTGAGAAGGTGGCAGTGAGTTGTCAAGTTGGTGAAATTTATAATTCAATTTTTAAAAAAAATCTATGATATAAAGTTAATCTCTGCAATGGTAACCATGGAACAATAAACAAATTGTTTCATCTAATTTGCGAGTGTCCTTTGGGGAAGGAAGTCTTCCACCCTTCCCTGGCCTATACATGACTCCAGACACACACAATTCTGAGGTGACTGTTAACTGCTCAGCAAGTTAAGCAGTTGAAGGGCAGTTAAGGATGGACAACAGCTGCTGACCCATCCAGTGACACGCACACCCCATGAAAGAATAAAGAAAAATACTCAGTCTAAAGCCTGTATTGAGGATCAACAATACTTTAATTTGAAAACTGGCACTGGAGATGTGAGTGTGACAAGGCTTTCAACTGTTGCTTGGATCTTGTCTGTGAGTCTTGTTGCAATGTGGTTGTGTGTGTGAGTTGTGAGCTTCTGTGGAAAGCACTATGTGTGGAAGAGGTTGATGGGCAACGTTTTGTGAGTTGGAAGTGTGGATCAGCTGGCAGTTAGTTAGTTGGCAAGTGGACACTGATTGATTGAGGCATTACTGTGGAGAATGCATCAGTTAGATGATGATTGACAATTAACTACCAAACAAATTCACTCTAATTTGTCAGGGCTCTGTTCTGCTCTCCCATTAGAGAGAGAGAAGAGACTGGTGGTGGTTTAAGCTGAGGGTCACGATATCTCAGGCAAGTGGGGAAGGTTGAGAAGGAAAGTCCATCATGGTAACCTCAGCTGGTGTGGGAATTGAACCGACACTGTTGGTGTCTTTCTGCATTGCAAACAAGCTAATTGACCCCCATCCTGCATCATGTTGGTGGTGACTTTTAGCTGGGCTCACAGCTGGATGAACTGTGTTTGGATGCCCTTTCACCCCAGGAGGTTTACTATCATCTGTACCTCAGTGAAGATCCACCAAACAACTGCTGCACTGGCTTCAGCTGTGAGGTGAGAGGCCTCAGGAGGGGCTCTACAATGAATCCTTCATGTCCTGGCACTAAGGAGGGGAAGAGTAAATCTACCGTGCTTTGTGCTCCAAATTGCTGTAAAATGATGCTGACACATGGATGAGGAAGGGATTATGTTTGATACTGTGACAGATTCATAGAATCATACAGTATGGAAGAGACATGTTGGCCCATTGAGTCGAGACACCAAAACTACACTAGTCTGTCTTTCTAGCTTTTCTTGATGAACTTAGAATTCAAAAGCTTATTAAGTGAACACTTATGACATAATTCATGCAGAAAGAATGGGTCCATTAAGTCTCTGGTTCGAGTCTGAGAGGTTACCTGACTTAAGTGTGTAATAGTGACTCAATCATTTCACATCTCTGTCTGTCACACTGTCAAAATTGTACATCAGGTGTTCTCGGGAGAAATGTGGGGCAAGTGTGATGAAATCTTTTCTGGATTTTACTATTTACTTCTTTTCTCTTTTTGTTTGATTCCAGTCATTGGGATTTGGTCTTCGTGGACATCATGGATGCCCTGCCCTGTCACATGTGGTATGAGCCTAGTGAAACGCTCCCGAGTTTGCAAAGAGCTTTTTCCTGGGAATGGTGTGGCTGATTGTGTTGGTAGTAATCAAGAGGAAAGATCCTGTGGCTTTCCGGTGAGAATGCGGTTATTTTAATGTTCCACCTGTTCGTTTGCAGAACAAATTCTACTAAATGTGTCCATCATGTCGTTGAGATGGGCATTAGAATGTATTTAGGTGATGCCAATGGTAACAGGCAGAGGAGAAAGCAGGCCTGCTATTGATTTTCTGAAGAAGGGTCTAGGTCCGAAACGTCAGCCTTCCTGCTCCTCTGATGCTGCTTGGCCTGCTGTGTTCATCCAGCTCTACACCTTGTTATCTGCTACTGAGTTTCAGGGTTTTAATCTATTTTTGATCATTTTGGTGAGCTTTAAAATATTATTTATATTTCTAATTTCTACATAGTCTTTCTCTGTGTAATGCTTATTCCAGTTATGAAGGTGATAATTCACAATGGGATGTGGTTTTCAGCTGCTTTTCCATCACCTCTTTGACATGAGAGCCTACCTCTGATTGCAGTCTGAGAACCATCAGCCAAATGATACAGTTCTTGACCGAGACTTGCACCACCTCCCAGCACAGGTTACCATTCAGAAATTGTAGTTTCAAATTCAATGCCTGTGAATGAAAGAAGAGGTTAGTTATAGTGCCCCACCTTCCACTCCCTGCTCACTCCCACCTCCCTCCACCCTTCTCCCTATAACAATCCCTGTCCTCCCTTGTCCAACCCATTCTCACTTCCCTTTACCCTTCACCTCCACCTTACCTTTCCTCTCCCTCCTTCAACATGACCTCCCCCTTTTCCCTTCCATTCACTCACCTTCCCCACCCTCCACCCTTCCCACACCCTCTCCTCACCACCCCCACTCCCTGTCCCCCTCCACCCCCATAGACTCCACCCCTTCCCCTCCAACCACCTCACTCTCCTCCACTCCAACCTCCCCATTCTCCTCCCTCCCCCACTGACCCCTCCTCTCCCCCATCAACCCTCCCGCCCCTACTTTCCCTCTCCAATCCCACCCACACCTCTCCTCTCCCATCTCCCCTCTCCCCTCCCCCACTTCCTCACTTGCCCCCACCTCTGCCTCATAATACTTGATGGACATTTCAATTCATGCACAGACATTAAAACAAATATTAACTTTTGATTGGCTGAAACATCAGCTTAGAAATTTTCATCAGCCAATTAAAAGACAGGATCTAGTGATTGATTGAACACAATTTGACTTCCCATTGGAGTCAATGTTGGAAGGGGCATCAAAAAAAAGGTCCTGGAAGTTTCCCGATGCAATGAAATAATTGATATTTTAATTAATCTTTCATGACACACATCTGAACACTGGCCCACAGGTAGGTACACTATCACTACAAAAGCCCACAATGAGCAAGATAATAAGCTTACTAAAATGTACCACCTGGTTTCCCAATCCATCATTATTTAATTCACTACTACAGCATCTTTATTGGAAAATTGTTTTTCTCTGGACATTAATCAAGAGACTGTGCCTGTTAACAGATCTTCTAAAATTATCATTTGAGATTATTATTTTCATATTATTTTGAGATTAATATGACAAACCAGAGTTCCTTTACATGAACATTACAAACTTTTCATTAATAATTGAGAGTGATGAGCCTTCTCTATTGAGAGACACAGGATGAATTCCCTATTGTTGGGGAGCCTTTGGAAGTAAGGCATTGATGTTTCAGAAAGCAATCCTTTCAAGAAAAATAAAGTAACGTTTATAAACAACAAAATCCATAAGAATGCTTTATTTATGATTTTGCTGTAATAAAGGCCACCAGAACCAAAGGGTTACACAGAGTGTCTGCTAACTCTGAGAGTTTCTGCTCAGATTTGTAAGCATTGCAGCGTCTATCTGTCCATTACTAAAGCCATCGATGCCAATGAGATTGTACCAGAGGTGGTAAAAGCTCCCTGCTGCTATCTAACCCTGTTTCCCTGGCTCTGAACGCACCTGGTGAAGCTAGAAGCCACGTGTCATTGTTTATAGCTGCCACTAGCTACCACTAGATGCACTAGATAGCAACAAGGGGTTTCAGGTGAGAGGAGAGATCCAGAAAGATTAAAAGAACAGCAAATGCCAATATCTCCACACAGGGTCAAGTAGGAGTTGAATGAGACCCTGAAGGGGCCTGTGATGTGCACTGTGCTGAAGGCTTTGCCTCCAGAAGGGTATTTTTACCTGATGTGACAATGTTTAAATTAGTTCCCACAAGATAAGTACTGGATGTGGATAACTGTTTGTAGCAGCTCCTGATATACACAAAGATTACTGTCACTGACACTTCAGTACCTGGGCTAGGATTGAAAGGCTCAGTTGCAAACAGTAGCATATTTCTATCAGCAAGTCATGCTTCAGTTGGCCCCAGTTAAGCTGGAATTTGTGATCTTTATGCCCTCAGGTCACATTCTACAATACACTGATGATATCTTGAACATGTCTCTTAAAGGAATACTGAGACCCTGACCATGGCACATAACTCAACAGCCCAGGTATCACAGAATGCAGACAGACAGGCAATGTACGTTCTGGGTATAGGTACTGGCAGTATATCATTCATGATGTTGTGTGCCCACCAGCTACGTACAGTACAGGTGTCCATCCACTGCCTCCACCAACTCCAGCATATCAACACTGGAGAGTGTAAACATGAAGGGTCTAGGCCCGAAACGTCAGCCTTCCTACTCCTCTGATGCTGCTTGGCCTGCTGTGTTCATCCAGCTCTACACCTTGTTATCACTGATCTGAATGTTCTGATTACTCTTTGTGGATAGTTAGGGCTCACAGTCTTTCTTTGCCATTATGTGGAGATTAATGTTTGCTCATTTGTTTCTTTTAATTCAGGTTGATTACTGCAAATATCTGCCTCAACCTCCAGATTCTATCATGACAGGAAGGTGGATCTAACAGTGTGAGCCATGTTGAGGTGTTCTTCCCCCTGTATTTCACATACCTCAAGTATGCAGCACTGTGCTGGCACCAGCACTCCTCCACTTTTTGTACATGTTTGTATTCTTGTTTATATGTTAAATGCTCTCAGTCTTAAACTGATATTGCACCTTGAAGCGTACAGACGTCTGTATACACATTCTGATTCTCTTGATCATTGATTAAAGCAGTGAAGAGTGGAAGCAATGTCTTTCTGTGATAATTCAGAAATAGGGCTCAACCCTAGGGTAGGCATGAGCAAAAAGCACACTTCTGCATCTCTGAGTAGACTGGTTTTGCCTCATGCTCTGTAACATTGACATAAAAGCTAATATTACAGAAATGAAATATCAACCACTGGCAGCATCTTTACTTGAGAAAGGATGTATTGGCACTGGAGGGGGTGCAAAGGAGGTTCACTAGGTTGATTCTAGAGTTGAGGGGGTTGGCTTATGAGGACAGACTGAGTAGATTGGGATTATATTCATTGGAATTCAGAAGATTGAGGGGGGATCTTATAGAAACATATAAAATTATGAAGGGAATAGATAAGATAGAAGTAGAGAGGATGTTTCCACTGGCAGGTGAAGCGAGGACAAGAGGGCATAGCCTCAAGATTAGAGGGAGCAGATTTAGGACTGAATTGAGAAGGAATTTCTTCACCCAGAGGGTTGTTAATCTATGGAATTCCTTGCCCAGTGAAGTAGTTGACGCTACTTCAGTAAAGGTTTTTAAAAAAAAGGTAGATTTTTTTTGAACAATAAAGGAATTAAGGGATACAGTGAGAACGCGGGTAAGTGGATCTGAGTCCACGAAAAGATCAGCCATGATCTTATTGAATGGCAGAGCAGGCTCAAAGGACCAGACAGCCTACTCCTGCTCCTAGTTCTTATGTTCTTATGTTCTTATGATTTATACTCAAACATCGAAGCCATATTTTCTTGATAAAATCTATCTGTGCGTGTTCTGTTGGTCCATATTTCATTCTTTCGTTTTTGCATTTTAGTCCTTCCTACTTATTGCAGTGCTTTTTATTTTCTAGTCATTTTAAACATTGTAATCATTCTGTTCATCTTTCTTTCCCTGCCTCCCAACTTGTTTGTTTTGACTCATTTTAAAGGGAGCTTTATCCATTGACTGAACATCAGCCTTGGCTGGGAAGATATGCTGGGAAGTATTGCGACAGATTCTTCTTGCTGCTGAATGAGAATCTTATTGGAACATATAAGATTCTTAGAAAATTAAACAGGGTGGATAAGGATAGATGTTTTTCTGGGCTGGAGTGTCTAGAACATGGGAGCACAAGGTCAGGATAAAGGGTCTTCCATTTGGGAGTGAGATGCAGAGAAGTGTTTTTGTTCAGTTCTGAAGAAGGGTCACTGGACCAAAATGTTCTTGCCACAGATGCTGCCAGACCTGTTGTGTTCTCCCAGCAATTTCTGCTTTTGTTTCTGATTCCCAGCAGTTCTTTGTATTTTTCTCTTTATTAAGAGAGCTGTGAATCTTTGCATTTTCACCCAAGGGTTGTGACTGTTCAGTCATTGAGTAAATTCAAGACAGAGATTGATAATTTGTTTTGGAAAAAAAGGAACTTGAAGGGACATGAGAACTGGGTGAAAAAGCAGATCTGAGACTTAAAAAATCAGCCATGACACTGAAAGCAAAGATTAATAGATTTTTGAACAGTAAAGGAATTAAGGATTATGGTGAGTGGGCAAGTGGAGCTGAGTCCTTGAAAAGATCAGCCATGATCTTATTGAATGGCAGAGGAGGCTCGAAAGGCCAGATGGCCTACTCCTGCTCCTATTTCTTATGTTCTTATGAATGATGGAGCAGTCTGCAGCGGTAATATTGTCTGCTCCTGCTTCCATTTCTTATACCTTATGGCAGCCTGGAAAGAGATAAAAACATAAATATTGAAGATAATACCAGTCTTGAGTATCTCTGGAAATATCATTGAACTGAATATATTCAGGGCTTTGTACAGGAAAAGCTGCAGCTCATTCTGTCTTTGCTACTGGATGGTAATTGCCTGAGGAGCTATACCATACTGAAGTGTAAAGTTGGGGGATAGAAAGTGTTTCCATTGGTGTTACAGCCTGTACAATTACACTTTCCATTCAACATCTCAGACAGCTAATTCCTCTTTATCTTTTTCACCTCCCTCAGCCTATTCCATTGGTGATGGAGGGACTGATGAATATAATTTGCGTTGTGCTGTGTACTCAGAATAACCTTCTGATAAAATCCTTGCCTTACTGAGGACTCCTTGCTTCAATGTGCATTGATTACTGGGTGGACTTCAGTCTTGTACTGTAACCTATTCAGTGCTATCCTCATCCTGCATAGATGGTGTCTTTAGCTTCTTAGACCCAAATGTAATGGGGGCGTGGGGATATGTATCAACATGATTTATAAATCCAGCAATACATTCTGAGTTAGATATCACTTCTTCAGAACTGGAAGAGACTGGAAAATGGTATTTTTAATGCTCTTGACAGAGGAAAAGGTGGACTGAGTGGAACAGGGTGTGAGGAATAACTCTGGTTCTCTCTCCACAGATACTGTCAGACTTACTGAGTTTCTCAAGCACTTTGTTTTTATTTCAGATTTTCACATCTGCAGTATGTTGCTTTTATTCACAGCAGTACTGTCTGCTTTCCTTAACAGGGTCAATAGAAAGGAGCTGTTCCCCTTAATCGAACGGTTAAGAAAAAAGGGGTTTAAAGTAAAAGGCAGGAGGTTTAGAGGGGATTTGAGGACAAATTTTTTCAATCAAAGGTTGGTGGGGTCTGGAATGCACTGCCTGGGAGGGTAGTTGAGGTGAGTTAAATCATAACCTTGAAAAAGTACCTGGTTGAGCAGTTGAAACATCATTACATTCAAGGCTACGGTTCTAATGTGGGAATGTGGGACTAGTGAAGACAGTAGTGTATTTTCAATGGTACAGATTCGATGGGCTGAAGGGTCTTTTCTGTACTGTATGATTCCATGAACTAAATATAATTGAATTAGTCTCTGCAATTGGTTCAAGCACTCTTTGTGCACATTAATACAAGGAATGCACCTCTTGCTGTTGAATTCATTCATCAAGAAGCACATTGAGTTGGGGAGGCAATGGCCTAGTGGTCTTATCACTGGACTGTTAATCTGGAAACCCAGGTAACATTCTGGGGACCCAGGTTTGAATCCTGCCATGGCAAATGGTGGAATTTGAATTCAGTAAAATATCTGGAATTAAGAATCTAATGATGACCATTGTTGATTGTTGGGGAAAAACCCACCTGGTTCACTAATGTCCTTAAAGCAAGGAAAGTGCCATCCTTACCTGGTCTGGCCTACATGTGACTCCAGCTCCACAGCAATGTGGTTGACTCTGAACTGCCCTCTGGGCAATTAGGGATGGGCAATAATTGCTGCCTAGCTAGCAATGTCCTCATCCCGTTAATGAATAAAGGGAAAAAAAATTCTTACTTTGCTGTCTCAGCTCCTCATTCCTGATTATAGTACTTTATAGAATACATAGGAAGTGTAAAACAAGTGGAACGGCTTGTGTGTTGCCCTGACTTGGGCACAGGTTAATTTCGATCTAGTATTATGCAAACAGAAAGATTAATAAATAATCTCGTTTTGGTAATAGTAACCAAAGTATGATGGAATTTTTCATTAACTTAGAAAAAAAAATCTACTTCAATCTGAAACAACGGTCTTAAATCTAAACAAGGACAATTACGAAGGTATGAGGTGAAAGTGGCTGTGATGGATTGAAAAATACATTACAACATTAAATATAGATTGGTAATGACTACTATTTAAAGAATTCATACTGGATTTTCCAAAATAATGCATTATTTTAAGGAAAACTATCCAAGAGGTAAAGCAAGACAGTCATGGCTAAGAAGGGAAATGAAAGATAGTATTGGATCAAAGGAGGAGACTTATAGAGATGTCAAAAAAAAACTTTTAAGCCTCATGATTGGGAGAATTTTAAAATTCAGCAAAGGATGACCAAGAAATTGATAAAGAACGAAAGAATAGAATATAGGAATAGAAAGAGAAACACAGATTGTAATTGCCTCAATGAGTATGTAAACAAAAAAAATGGCAAAGACAAATGTGGGCTTGTTATAAGCACGAATAGGAGAATTTATTATAGAAAATAGAGAATTGGCAGAGAAAGTAAATGAGTACTTTGCGTCTGTTTTCACAAAAAGACTTTCGCTGCTTGAAAAGATTAAGATCCAGGTTCTAATGGGAATGTGGAACTTAAAAAATTTAGTATTAGTTTAAAAATACTGTTGGAGAAATTAATGGGCCTGAAAATTGACAAATTCATCCTAGAGCATTGAAATTGATGGTACAGAGATTGTGGATATAACAAAGATCATCTTTCAAAATTCTACCAATTCTATATGGAACACTGGTGAGACCACATCTGGAGTACTGTGTGCAGCTCTGGTTCCCTTACCTAAGGAAAGATTTACTCGAGAAGGTTCACCAGATTGAATACTGGGATGATGGTACTTGCCTATGAGTAGAGATTGAGAAGAGTAGGCCTGTATTCTTTGGAGGCCACACCTCAACCTCCTATGCTCCAGTGAAAAATGTCCCAGCTTTAGGCTTCTCCTTATAGCTCAAACCCTCCAGTCTGGTAACATCCTTGTAGATCATTTCTTCACACTCTCCAATTTAATAATTTCCTTCCCATAGCAGGGTGACTAGAACTGTATACAATACTCCAAAAGTAGCCTCACCAATGTCCTGTACAAACACCACATGACATCCCAACTCCTATACTTAATGGTCTGAGCAATGAAGGGAAGCGTGCCAAATACCTTCTTTAACACCCTGTCTACCAGTGATACAACTTTCAAAGAATTATGTATCTCACCCTCTAGGTCTTCCTGTTCTACAACACTACTCAAGATCCTACCATTAATTATGTAAGTCCTACCCTTGTTCACCTTTCTTAAATGCAACACCTCACATTTATGCAAATTAAACTCCATCTGCCACTCCTTGACCATTGGCCCAATTGATCAAGATTGCTTCGTAATCTTAATGAATTTCTAATTACAAATGACATCAAGCGATATAGGGATAACATGGGAATGTGGTGCTGAGATAAATGATTAGCTATGATCTTGAATGGCAGCAGATCAAGGGATTGAATGGCCTACTTCTGCTCCTATTCCTATATGTTGTATCAAACTTGGAAGTGCTCAAAATTATAACTTCATGAAGAACAAAATTCTTCGCTATGGTATTTTCAAATGTTAACAATAAAGAGATAAAAAATTAACTAAAAATATTATTTGCCAGAGCCATGATTCCAACATGCAAAATACTGCAGAGATTGCATCAGATTAGAGACCATTTGAAGATAACACATGATTGTCTCAAAATGGAGAAAAAAATCATAACTTGCTAGATAATTGTCAGGTTATAGAGCAAATATATAAAACTGTCAAACACTGTTAAATTAAGTGAACTTTATCATTCTCAAAGCACAGGTTATTGCATCTTCAAATTAGGTGATTTGCTGATTCATTTTCAAGACGTCAAGGCTACCAGGGTAAAAGATTGATAAACAAGGGATGATGGAGGACAGGAATCTCATCATGTCACAGTAATCACATTTCATTATTTACTATTTATACACATTTATCAAGTGCTTCCTTGACATGTCAAAGGATTCAGATGAAAGGCTCTAGGCATTTGGCATCATGCGTATTCTATGTTCATGGACATGTAGCTCCTTCCTGTACAATATGATGGTGGGACCAGTTTCCAGACTGCACCCTTTACATGGTATATGCGACCCAGTAAATGACATTGACGGCCGCAAAAGCAGCTGGAAAGACAGCTCTTGCATAAATATCAATGGTGTCGGAATCAATACGTTTGAATACGGACTTCAGAGTAAGTTTATTGCTGGACTTTGAGTTGTGTTTATTTGCCCTTGTCTTTCCATTTTTAATTTCGTCTCCATGAAGAATCGTATGAGCCCGGTGCAGTCTGTTGGACATGAGAAATTCCTGGTTCATCCCAGCCGCTGACAAGGAGAACAGAACTATTGCATCCTTTCCGTTTCTCTTAACTGCCTAGAATAAAGAGAGAATCAGGAGGTACAAATACTACAAGCTGGAATTGGGCCAATACACCAAAAGAATAACTTTAACAAACATGTTGGCAATCTCTGTTACAGGAAGGATGTTATTAGGCTGGACAGGGTTCAGAAAAGGTTTACCAGAATGTTGCTGGGACTGGAGGGTTTGAGTTATAAGGAAAGGCTGGATACGTTGGGATTTTTCTCACTGGAGCATAGGAGGTTGAGGGGTGACCTTATAGAGGTTTCTAAAATCATGAGGGGTGTACATAAGGTGAAAGCCAGGAGTCTTTTCCCTAGGGTGTGGAATTTCAAGACCGAGGGCATATTTTTAAAGTGAGAGGAGAAAGATTTAAAAAAGACATGAGGAACAACTTTTTTACACAGTGTGGTTTGTGTGTGGAATGAACTTCCACAGGAAGTGGTGGATACAGTTACAGTAATAACATTTAAAAGTCATTTGGATAAGTACATAAATAAGAAATGTTTGGAGGGATATGGGCCAAGCACAGGCAGGTGGGACAAGTTTAGTTTGGAATTATGGTCGACACTGACTGATTGGACCGAAGGGTCTATTTCCTTGCTGTATGACTGTATAAATGGTCGAGCTTCCCTGGTGACGCAGGACCTTGTTCACTGCCTTGTGCAACAAGTGTATTTCCTGTTGATTTTAAGTTTGTCTTGTGCTGTGAGAGGATTGTAACAAGGTCCTTCAGCAACCCCAGTATAAATAGGGAAAAGTCAGCAAGGATTTCTACTCGGGAACATTCTGCCACATCCTCCCAATAAATGTTTCGTGGCTGAGAATATCAGGTGATAATGTGGCCAGGTCTGGTTGTGATACCTCCCAGACTCACAAGGACCAGTAAATTGAGAAAAGCCATGGGAGCAGAGATAGTATGAGGTCCAGTCTTCAGGGAAAAAGGAGAGAAATCATATAGTTTGTCTGACTCAAGGTTTGATTTCAGACTCCAACCAATTAAAATTGATCCACACCCATGTATACCCAACATAATCTCAGCCTAAAATGGATATTTCCTCTTTAAACTAATTCAGTGCTGTGTTACGCTACTCACCTCCACACATGATTTATTGGCCTTAATTTTTGCACGCTGCTTTCTCATGTAGTCTGCATTGAAATGTGCAAAGGCGTATTCAACAAGAGCAGCAAAAACAAAGATATAGCAGATCCAGAAGTAGACATCCAACGCTTTAATGGCTGATGCTCTGGGGAGAGATTTTCTTGCACTGATCATCAATGTTGTCATGGTCAACACTGTTGTAATACCTAGAATAAATACATTAAAATAAGTCAATCCTTTAAAGGTATGTGTTCCTGATTCATGTTTCTTGAAATTACTAGAGTTCAATGTATGATTTTTCATTTTGGTGGTGACAGTTTCTCAATGTTCATGCTTGTGGGTGCCAGATTCACCCTGTACAATCACTTTTTTTTTTTCACAAACTCAAGCAATCATTATCTCCCTGTCAGTCATAGGAAAAAAAATGTCTGTAAACTTTATTCCCCTTCATCCAAAAGGTAGACTGAGCAGGTCATCACAGTATCCTTGCTATGATCCCTATTCAATTATAAATTAGATGGTAAGTAACATTCCTGCCTCAGAACTTTGCCAAACAGGTGAGAGACAGGAATGTCAGGCAGTCAGTCCCTCTGCAGGATTTGTAGCTCAATCCAGTGATAAAGCATACTCTATGTCAAATCCCTGATACTTATTTACACCACTTTGTGCAAGGAATGCTTGAGCATATCCCTATGCATAAGATACATAGAAAATTTATTTTTCATATGGAAATGCTCTATCCCTCTGGCTTCCTTGGAATGATATTTCCATGTTCCAGGCAATTCAGGAGCCACCATTTGGATGTAATCTTTAAATTATTCTGCTTTTCAGTTTGCCTTAACAGTCCATTCAGGAAGACATTCCACCTCTTTGTTTAAATTGGTTTTAATTGTCAAAGTGTTAACTACTTTAACTGGAATCCTGTTTCACATATCCACCACTATGAGAGAAACTAAATCCCTTCTAATCTTAAATCTCAATTGTCTCAATTTAAATCAAAAATACTTCATAAAATGAGAGTCACTGCAAAAATTCAGATTCCAATTTTCTTCTATCACCAAAATACAATGGTGTAGGTGATGTTATTTGATCTTGTGGAGAGGTTTCCCAAACAGTTGTACCCCGGCTTAACACAATCTAATTTGATGATGCCTTGGACCTGTAGACAGTACTCCTTTCAAGGTAAATAAATTCAAGTGATGATTCAACTGAAGATCAGATGTAATCTTCTTGTGAACTGGGAGCAAGCTCAAGGGGTCATACATCCTGTTCCTGTACCTGTTTCATATTTCTTAAGCGAACAAATTTTGCAATACCATCTGAGTTATTAAGAATGTAAGTTTTTTTGGGAGTGCAATCTATGAATTTTGAGACTGTTGGGCTGCTTCTATGGTGGAGCACTTGCAACAAGAAAGAGCCCTTACAGGGAGCACAGACAAAGATAAAGAAAGAAAACACTTTTAAGCAGCATCTTCCAGAAGCCCACGGCCTCTTAAAGCACTTTGCTTTTTAAGTGTCATCACTATGACAACCAAAGGTAAGATGGAAGTCAAATAGCACACAATGGGCTCCCTTAAAAATGAAATGAATGGCAAGATAATGTCAATAAACGTGGAGCTGGACAAACTCAGCAGGTCAGACAGCATCAGAGGAGCAGGAAATTCAATGTTTCAAGCCAAAACCCTTTGTCAGGATAGGGACGGTTAGGGGGAGGGGATTTGGACTGGAGAAAGGTAGGTGGGATGATGATGATAGGTGGATGCAGGTAAGGAGTTATAGTGATTGGTCAGTGGAAATGGTGGAGCTGATAGATGAGTAGGAAGATGGACAGGCTAGGTCAGGTCAGGGAAGCGGGACATGGGATAAGGCTGGGGCTGGGGGTGGAGGGATTTTGAAGCTGGTGAAGTCAATATTCAGGATCTTGGGCTGTAAGCTCCCAAGGTGAAATATCCAGTTAAGGTTTGGCCTCACTCTGACAGTGGAGGATGCCAAGATGGACATATCGCCAGGGGAGTGGGAGGGGGAATTAAAATGGATGGCAACCAGAAGGCTGGGTTGGTTGGTGTGTGCAAAGCTTAGATGCTCTGCGAATCAGTCCCCTAGTCTGTGTTTGGTCTCCCCGATATAGAGGACACCACATTGGGAGCAATGGATTCAATAAATCAAGTTGGATGAGGCGCAGGTGAATCTCTGCCGGATCTGGAAGGATTGTTTGGGGCCTTGGACGGAGGTGAGCGGGGAGGTGTGGGGGCAGGTGTTGCACATCTTGTGGTTGCAAGGAAAGGTACCGGATGTGGTGGAGAGGTTAGTGGGGAGTGTAGAGCTGACGAGGGAGTCGCAAAGTGAACGGTACCTGTGAAAAATTTTGTTATTGTGTTATTTTATTTGTCATGTACTAGGGAAACTCACTGTTCTGTTTCACAAAGAATCATTGAACTTTTAATGTTCCCTAGAAAGGGAAGATTCAGGTTTGGTTTACCAGCTTGTAAATAAGGCACCTCCAAAAGTGCTGCACTATCTCAGTACTGTACTATCGTACTAGAAAAGGACTTCCTATTATTATTATTGTAAAAGTATCATTGTGCTTTTAAAAGACTTAGCTGGATAGACTCATGGATAGAAACAGTGTGCAGGGATATGGGGAAAAGGCAGGAGATTGGCATGAGGTGATAGAACCGGTGTGGGCACGATAGTTTGAATGGCCTCCTTCTGTGCCATAACAATCTCTGATTCTGTGACATGTACAAACATGATTCAAGCGACAAAGAAATTAATAGAACAGAATAAGATTGAAAGTGAACTATTGACTGTTTAGGAAGCCAAGGTTGAGCTGATGAGTATATTCACCTAAAGAAACACGTGCAGGGACTGCTGACTGACTGATCCAAAATGATACCCAGGACATTGCCACCAACAAGATAGAAGGCATGTACGACTGAATGATATAAACCCCTCTGTTCCTCCGTAACTGGAAATGAAGACTTAACCTTGGAAACTGACCTGCTGGAGTAACAATAAAAAATAATCTTAGAAAAGTAGAGAAAGATTTACTGTCCACAGTCTGTGTAAAAATTGTTATAGAAACAGGAACAACACAGCCACTTGGTGTCAACTTTCTTGTCTCCTTTTGGGAAGATGCTGGCTCTTTCTCCAGAACAGCTCCATGAGCACTGAGCTCCTTCAAGTGCCACAACTGACTGACTTTGTTTTGAGCTTAAATGTCGTAAATGTGATGAAAGATTTGTGATTTATATTTACTACTTTATTTTTAGTTTTAATTTATATGTTCATGTATGTTGATTTATTTCATTTTCCAGAATCATGACTTAAAACCAGTATTTCTCAGACAGCAGATGACTGCAAGGTCTCCTGCAGTGTTAATGGAAATTTGTTTATATGGTGGGGTTTTATGACAGGAGAGTGAAAACATTAAGCCATCAGCTATAATAAAATCTAGTATAAACAAGTCTTTTTCCAAATTTAGTTCAAAAGCTTTAGGGTTCAATTCAAAAGAGACTTGATTGAGGTATAAAGCAAGTATTATCTCATAGAAAAGGAGGAAGTTTAGAATAGTTAAAGGAATAAGTTATCTTAAAGAGTTCATGTTTTGAAACTTCCAGAACAGGAATGGTTAGTTAGAAAATGGCATTGGCTGTTCAAAGCTGAGAAAGTATGAAATCTCAGTTGTGTATACATGCATAGAAAAGACCTCACTACTCACAGGACAGGAATGAGAAGAAGCAGTTAAATTAAACTGACAGATTTAATAGGGAAGAAAAATTTCTCAGATTCTATTTAATTGTAAAGTGATGATGTGCTAAGTGGATGGGACTTTATCTTGCCATGTGTTTTAAATCTTTCAAATTAAGTATTTGGATAGCTCGTTTTTTAAAAATTTCTTTCGTGTGATAATCTTCTGTTTTATTGTTAAAACTAGTATACATATGTTTGAGGTTATATCTCAGCGGAAGATTGCCATAAACAAACCAAAAAAGAAAATCCAAGCTAGATTGAATCACAGCGTAGTTTGCCTTGTCCGTAGTGACATCAGTTGGGAGCATACTATGCGAGTCACTGAAATATTCACCTGGGCAGAAAGAGCAGAGGAATTAAATCCAAAGTGGATTTTTGCACAGGCACATTTCAAAACTGGCTGATAAAAAGTGATTCAGAATAGCAATTAATCCCCTCTGAAGCTCACGGACACTGTGGGATTACCACAGCTAAAATTGGTAACAATTTGTAGCAGAAATGTGTGATTCAACGCCAAATAATACTTAAACACATTGTAGATTTCACAGAGATAATAGGAACTGCAGATGCTGGAGAATCTGAGATAACAAGGTCTAGAGCTAGCTGAACACTGCAGGCCAAGCAGCATCATAGGAGCAGGAAGGCTGATGTTTCAGGCCCACACCCTTCTGACAATCAAGTTTTGTTTAGAAAGCTTACATAGACCAGAACATTCTTTTAATGTTATTAATAGTAAAAAGAAAAGTGTTTAATTCATTCATGGGATGTGGGCATTGCTTGAAAATATTTGTCAGCTGTGTCCAACTGAGTGGCTTACCCCAGGGCCAATTTGGAGCGAAGTTAAGTGACAACCACATTGTGTGGGTGCAGAGTTGCATGTACGTAAGGACAGCAGATTTCCTTCTCTAAAAACCATTTAGTTAATTTTGTGTTGCTGCCGGTAATGTTAAAGAGCTGTTCACATCAATTTATTCTCCATCCCAATCCCATCCCATTTAAAACTGTTTTGTTTCAATTGCTTATGTCTTGTAATGGATTATATGTTGAGCACTGGTTCTGAAACAGAATCTAAAGAGACCTTTAAAAGCCGTCCATAGCATGCAGTGACTCGGTTGTTAAAAGCAACACTGTGTGTGAAACAAAGTTATACTTCTTAAAAAGGCTGTAGCCTTGGTTCTCACAAAGCAATGAATCAATTAAGCTTTATAAGCATATTGATGTTAAAAGCTGTGGAATCTTCCTGCAGTGGTCACTGCTTATTGACCCTGTGGGGAAGTGTATGCACATTGGAATGCTGATTGTAGACTGGATCAGATTTGGCTATGAGCCTCCTCCTGGTCCAGTAATCTGCTGTCCACAGGTGTCAGGTGAGGTGTGTGGGCCAGCCAAATTGATAAGAATTTTCTGCCCCAATATCTTAGTGCTGGTGATCAGGAAGTGGGCAGATGGGCGGCTGCACAATGAAACAGGCATGATAAGGAATAAAATAAGAAGAAATTGTAAAAATAACTTTAACTGTTTGACCTGATTAATAACACACAAATACCATTTTCTTGTTTGTTCAATTAAATCCTTCTGTATGAGCCAGCTGCTTAACGGATTAGAGAATTTGGACAAACTGGATCACCTACATATTTGGAAAACTCTAACATAAGATTAAAGATAAAGCTTGTTTTATTTGTTTTTGTACCTTCTGTCTAACTGGTCCTATTTTAACTCTATACTTGTTCTGGTTGGGCTCTCTGTGTTTTATGAGACCAAAATTAATGTTACAATGACGCTGGCCTTCTGCCTTTTGTTTTAACCGAGAAAATATTCAAACAATATCCTCCACAGCATTCTGTATGGTGATGCCACGTGTTGTACATTTGCTGGTTAGTTAGATGTTTTATACATTTGTTTTACCTGAGAGCATTGCAGAGAAGACACTAGTTCCTCTGTGTGTGGCAGATATCACTTACTGTGTTTCAAAATATCTCTGCAGTCACAAAATATCTTCATTTCATGTTTACAGCTCAGCTTCCTCCTGGAGCTTCTCTGTTTACTCAGGCTCTGTGTTCACACCCAGGCTTTATCAATCAAGCACAGTTAATATAGGTGGGCCCCACCTTCTCAGCCTCACCTCTTGCTCAAGGCCTGAGACCCTCAGATTAAATCACCAACAGGCATCTCTCGCTCATGAGAGAGCAGCCCTATGGTTCGGTAGGGTTATGGCAACATTTTAGTATATATCGGTTACCAGCCTCATAATCAAATACAGAACAATGAATACTTAAATATTACACTGATTCTCCATTTGGCAACATTTTACATTATACAGAAACCAAGCTGAAGTTAAAAGCAACACTTGAGTCCCAAGGGAGTTAAGGAAATCTTGAAATACTTTAGCTGCCCACAGATATTGTAAATGTTTGGAAGCCAGATTTGATTTTACCATTTACACATGTGATATGGCAACCTTGGGTAAAACCAAAATGGATTCTTTGCTTCCACATCCCTAACAATTGACTGAACAATGGTTTATTGTAATAAAGGCTAAAAAACCACAGAACAGCCTCTCCTAAAAAGCTATTTGGAAGCTGTGGTAATCTGTGAAGGGAAATAAAAACTGTGTAATTGAATTGATGCTATAAAGTAAACCTACAGATTCACTAATCTCCTTCACCTGGCAAATTTGGAAACATCTTTATTGGAAAACTAGGTAAAGAACCAAAGTTAATTGAACTCCTCACTAATCATTTTCTCAATTTGTAACCCTTTGGGCACTATAAAGGAATGTCCATGTTGGTACCAACCATGTTCTGACTTTGTTGTGAACTTTTTTATTCATTTTTGTGGGATGTGGGCATCGCTGGCTGACCAGCATTTATCCTCCGTCCCTAGTTGCCCTTGAGAAGGTGGTGGTGAGCTGCCTTCTTGAACCACTGCAGTCCACCAGCTGTAGGTTGATCCGCAATGCCATTAGGGAGGAAATTCCAAGATTTTGACCCAGTGACAGTGAAGGAATGGCGATATATTTCTTAGTCAGGATGGTAAGTGGCTTGGAGGGGAACTTGAAGCTGATGGTGTTCCCATGTATCTGCTGCCCTTGTCCTTCTAGGTGGAAGTGGTCGTGGGTTTGGAAGATGTTTTCTGAGGATCTTCAGTGAATTTCTTCAGTGCATTTTATAGATAGCTACTGCAGTGTGTACTGAATGTCAGCAGTGGAGGGAGTGGATGTTTGTGAATGTAGTACCAATAAAGCAGGCTACTTTGTCCTGGATGGTGTCAAGCTTCCTGAGTGTTGTTGGAGCTGCACTCATCCAGGCAAGTGGGGAGTATTCCATCACACTCCTGACTTGTGCCTTGTAGATGGTGGACAGCGTTTGTGGAATCAGGAGGTGAGTTACTTGCCGCAGTATTCCTGGTCTCTGACCTGCTCTTGTAGCCACTATGTTTATGTGGTGATTCTAGTTGAGTTTCTGGTGAATGATAGTGGGGGATTCAACGATGGTAACACCATTGAATGTCAAAGTGAGGGGGAGGGGTGGTTAGATTGTCTCTTATTCGAGATGGTCTTTGCCTGGCACTTGTGTGGCATGAATGTTACTTGCCACTGGTGAGCCCAACCCATGACATTGTCCGAATCTTGTTGCCTTTGAACATGGACTGCTTCAATATCTGAGGAGTCATGAATAGTGCTGAACATTATGCAATCATCAGTGAACATTCCCACTTCTGACCTTATGATGGTGCAAAGGTCATTGATGAAGCAGCTAAAGATGATTGGTTCATGAATTAAAGGTGACTCGCCACATCCATTAGCAAACATGTTATTGCTTCCAACATCAAACAAATGACGGAGAGGGGTAGCAGATAGAAGGGGCGTTGAAGTATAAAAGTAGGGAAGTCTTACTGCAACTGTACAAGGTGCTGGGGAGACCACATCTGGACGACTGTGGGCGGTTTTGCTCCCCTTATTTAAGGAAAGATATCATTTCACAGGAGGCAGTTCATAGAAGGTTCACTGGGATGATCCCTGGTATGGATGGATTGTCTTACAAGCAAAGGTTGAACAGGTTGTGACTCTGCTCACTGGAGTTTAGAAGAATGAGAGGTGTTCTCATTGAAACACATAGGATTGTTAAGGAGCTTGATGGGGTAAATGCTGAGAGGATGTTTCCCTCATGGGAGAGACTAGGACCAGAGGCAGCAGACTGACATGAGGATGAAATTTTTCTTGCAAAGGTTTGTGAGTCTTTGGAAGTCCTTGCCACAGAGAACTTGGGGGGTGGTGGGGGGCAGAGTCCTTGTGTATATTTAAAGCTAAGATAGATTCTGATAAGAACTGGAATCAAGGGTTGGGGGAAATGTAGGAAAGTTATCATGAGGAATGTTGGATCAGTCATGATACTATTGAATGGTAGAGCAGGTTTGTGGGGTGGAATAGCCTACTCCTGTTCCTATTTCTTACGGCTGAGTGGACATACAGGTTGTATTTTAACTTAACTATAAGAGGCAGTAACACTTAAAGTGATATCAGTAACCTTACTGTCCCAACAGTCTTGATGACACAGAAGGCCCCAATTTATACAGGACATGCCGCAGTGTGTCCAAAATACCTGCCTGTTTTAGGTGGTTGATTCAATTCAGTAAATATAGTCACTTGGTTTTACAGAATTTTTGTATTGCTGAGAAAAGACACATTTCATCAAAGCTTTCCATCTTGCATTCATCAGGACTATTCACAAGAATTTACAAGGAATAACATCATTTATATTACATGAGATGAGAGTGATGATTGGTTGGCAAGTAGACGCTGATTAATAAAGGTATTGCTATGGAAAATGCATCCATTATTGCTGATTGACAGTTAACAGCCAAGCTATGTTTTAATTTTAAACTAGGGTAGGTTGACTGGTCAGGACAATACCCTGAGAAACGAACCAAAATGACTGTCACCTATTTTGTAGAGTTGTATCAGGTGTAGTACTTTTTTTTTCAAATCATGCTTTTTATCTGTCTGCAAAATCTGGCTGTTAACTGTCAATCAGCATTAGTGGCTGCATTCTTCACAGCAATGCCTTTACAAATCAGAGATCACTTTCCAACCAATCAGCACTCTGAATCTGATCCTAGAAGCCTATTTTAAGTTGGAATGGTAGTGTGTGTGAGCAGAGCACATTCCCAAAGGCAAAAGAGACTACAGTAAAGCAATGTTGGGAATTATAAATGTAGGGTCAGAGGAGTATCCAAGTGACCATAATGAGAAATGCTTGTGTTTAGGCATCAGGTTTATCTATGGGCCTGGGATAACAAGCTGGAACAGTAGCTTGTTTCCATGCAGAAAGGTTTCCTTGCACCTAGCTAGCTGAGCTTCCTTTTGTTGACAAGGTTAAACACTTCCTCCCTATTGCAGTTTCCTTTGCCCCATGTCCCTCATAGCTTGCCTCTCCTCCTTACCCTCTGCACCCTCGTTCTATATCAGTCTTATTTGCAGCCCCTTACCTGTCCATTCATTCCCTGTCTCCCTTGCAGCCTCTTGCTTCACCTGCAGATTTTTACCTCCCTCACAACGCTTGGAAGCTCTTCCAAGCTGGTTTCCTAGCCTTGGCTCTCAGCGAAAGGAAACCACCCCAAGCTTGGATCCCTGGTAAACAAACCACAAGTTTGTCTCCTGGCAAATGATTCTCTCAAAGGTTTGCTCACTTCCTTTCGTTTCTTTCTTAGTTATCCTGCTCACTGCTCCTCCAATCAGAGGCTGTTTCTCTCCAGTATTTACTGCTGGTAGGTTAAGTAGTGAGCCAAACAACAACAAATGTGAGAGATAACTAGCCAATGACTGAATAAGCAGTTCCTCAGGAATTTTCTCCATTCTACTTGTGGGGGTGACTTTGCTCTGGTCGCCTGTGTGATTGACTTTTCTTGGGTGTTTTGGGAATTTCGGAGGCAAATTCGCCCGGTGCACAATGAGCCCTGTTACCATATCATTTAAGCAATTCCAGAGGACATAAAGAATTGCACAAATACAAGTCATCGGTACCTAGATTCTGCTACTACCCAAGATACAAGGACAGCAGCGATTCAAATAGGCAGCTCACCTCTACCTTCTCAAGGACAACTAGAAATGGACAATAAATATTGGCCCAGTCAGTGACACCCATGAATGAATAAAAATAACATGTTCATTGTTGTTCTTCACTAAGTAGTTAATCATCACTCCCATCAAAATTGGTGTTTACCTGATTTGAAATTTGTCATTTCTGTGACAAAGTAATAGTTGGTTATTGTAAATTGAGCCAACTGAATTTGATCCAGTCCATGGATCTGATCCTGATTGTCTGACCAATTATAGACAATGTCATCTGCTGAATAGCCATCTGAAAGAAAGAATTACATCTGTCAAAATAAAACAGCTGGTAGCAATGGCATGAACAAGTCTTTGATTTGCTTGTGTGAATCTGAATACTCTGTTTAGCTGCTCAAGACAGATTTAGAGTTGTTGGTTGGTTCGCCGAGTTGACTGGTTTTCATACAAACATTTTGTCTCCCTTCTAGGTGACATTGTGAGTGCTGTGCTTTTATACATCGCATTTGTCCTGCTCATTGTGGGTATGGGGTCTTTCATCTTTGAGAGTAACTGGCAAAGTGTGGCTGTTGGTTTGTGATATATAAAATGTCATGCAGTAACTGCAAGAAACACTACATAGAACAGACGGCCAGGAAACCCACCACCAGGATACATGAACACCAACTCACAGCAAAACAGCACAACCAAATCTCCCTCATTTCAATACACTCTGGCACAGAAGGACATCAATTTAACTGGGACAAAGTTACAGTAATAGGACAAACAAGACATAGACAAGCACAAGAATTCCTGGAGGCCTGGTTTTCAACTACCAATGCAATTAACAAACATATTGAAATAGACCCCATTTACATACCATTATGGTAGAAAACTAGAAACAAGACTGTACACCATGACAGACCGGACCACAAAAATTCAGAGCAGGACAGAATAACAGCGATTCAATGGAGACTTCACAGCACTGACAATATCACCTAGAAGGGAGATGAAACGTTTGAAAGAAAGCTAGTCAGCTTGGTGAACCATCCAGCAACTCCAACCACAACCCGAGCTACAGATCTTCGTTGAAACATTAAGCAAGACAGATTTGGCCAACTGAAAGTGTGTATCATTTCAACTCTCCACTGTCAGCCTCTTCATCACATCTTCTGTTCACAAACCATCATTAACAACCACCTTGCTATAGAAACAGGAAAAGGCTATTCAACCCCTCCAGCCTGCCTTGCCATTCAATATGATCATGGATGACTGAACACTTCAAAGCCTTTTATCAATCCCATCCTCATAAATGTGTCCGCCATTGGTAATTAGAAATCTATCAATCTCAAGACAATCAAAGCCTGATCTTCTACAACCCTCTGCGGTACAGAATTCCAAAGGTTCACAACCCTCTCAGTTCTGTGTGGTATCCCCCTTATTTTTACATTGTGCCCCAAGGTTCTAGACTTCCCCTATCAAGGGAAGCATTTTAATTGTATCCATCCTGTTTGTCCCTTTTGGGTATTTTGTAGGTTTAAATGAAATCACCTCTCATTCTTCAAAACTCTAGCAAATACAGGTCCAGTTTGCACAATCTCTCTTCACAGAACAGTCCCGCCATCCTGGGAATTATGCTGGCGAGTCTTCTTTGCACTCCATCTATGGCAATAATATCTTGCCAAGATAAGGAGACACTCCTGTCAACTGACATCAGGAGTTACTTTAAATAGACTCTGTTTATCTCACTTCTCCTTAGAATGGAAAGGGTAGCACAAAACAATATTCTTGAGCTGTCCTTTGTTTACAGGTTGCTCAGCCACTTCTGAGGCAGCAATGAAGATATTGAAATATAATGGAGCTGGGCCAACAGTTAAACAACAGACGTATGTGAGGTATTTGCATTACAATTCTAAAACAATTCAATGCTTTTAAACTACAAATCCAATAAAACTAATTGCTAACCAACTGTCTGAAATGATTTTTTCTGTAGGATAGCTTCTGTCTCAGCTGTCCTAAGGATAAAATCTCGACCCTTGTGTATTATTCCTCTGTGTGTTCATCAAAAGCATGATAATTCAAATAGGTAGCTTCTCCTGCATTCATACCTTCCAGTGCGCTCCTTAATAAGGCTTCAAGATAAGACCATAAGATACAGGAGCAGAATTAGGCTATTCACCCTATCTAGTCTGTACTGTCATTTTATCATGGCTGATATGTTTCTCAACCCCATTCTCCTGCCTTCTCCCCATAACCCTTGATCCCTTTACTAATCAAGAACCTATCTATCTCTGTTTTAATTATAATCAATGATTTGACTTCCATAGCCCGCTGCAGAAATGAGTTCCGCTGGCTGAAGAATTTCCTTCTCCTCTCAGTTCCAAAGGGTCCCCCCTTCACTCTGAGGCTGTGCCCTCAGGTTCTGGTCTGTCCCAATAGTGGAAACATCTCCTCCAAGTCCACCCTATCCAGGCCTCTGTAAGTTTCAATGAGATTCCCCCCAACTCCTATCCTTCCAAATGCCATTGAGTACAGACCCAGAGTCCTCCAATACTCCTCATATCACAACTCCAGGATCTGGACCCCTGAAACGCCAGAGTCACCAGAACATTCAGAGTCATAGACTTTTACAGCATGGATACAGACTATTCAGTCCAATTTGTCCACGCTGACCAGTTGTCTTAAACTGATCGAATCCCATTTGCCAGCATTCGGCCCATATCCCTCTAAACCCTTCCTGTACATATACCAATTTGCCTTTTAAAAGTTGTAATTGTACCAGCCTCCACCACTTCCTCTGGCAGCTTGTCCATACACACACCACTCTCTGCATGAAAACATTGTCTCTTAGGTCCTTTTTAAATATTTCCCTTCTCAACTTAAACCTATGCCCTCTAGTTTTGGACTCCCCTGCCCTGGGAAAAAGACCTTGGCCATTCACCCTATTGACGCTCCTTGTGATTTTATAAACCTGTATAAGGCTACCCCTCAGCCTCTGATGCTGCAGGGAAAATTGCCCCAGCTTATTCAGCCTCTCCCTATAGCTCAAACCCTCTAATCCTGGCAACATGCTTGTAAATTTTCTTTGAACCCTTTCAAGATTAACAACATCTTTCCGATTGCAGGAAGACCAGAAGTGATTGCAGTATTCCAAAAGTGGCCTAAGCAATGTCCTGTACACCCTTACCATGATGTCCCAACATTGTGTTTCAGTTTCCAAAGCCTTTCCCTGTTTTGAAAATAGTCAATGCCTCTGTTCCGCCTACCAAAGTGTATAAACTTAAATTTTCCCACACTGTATTCTATCTGCCACTTCTTTGCCAACTCTCCTAGCCTGTCCAATTCCTTCTGCAGCCTCCTAACTTCCCCATCACTATCTATTCCTCCACCTATTCAGTTGTTTCAGTGGCGGGAGTCTGGGAGGAAGTGCGAGGGCACCCTGGGAAGGTAAGCTTTTCGATTATAAAAGTCTTACCTCGCGTGACTCCATTTTTGGAGTGAGTAAGTGAGGTAATATATTTGGGCGGTTGCTTTACCCGAAACACTACCTAGGTAGTGTTTCCCACCCATCCTCCTCCTCTAACCAAAAAAAAAGGTTCTGAGCGCTGATTTGGTAAGGTTACTAGTTTTTTTTTCAATAGTCTGTTTGGGAATTCAGAACAGTGGGAATGGATGTTAGGGTAGTTGCATGCTCCTCCTGTAGAATGTGGGAGGTAAGGCTCACCACTAGTGTCCCCACTGACTTCATCTGTGGGAAGTGCACCCAACTCCAGCTCCTCGGAAACCGCGTTAGGGAACTGGAGCTGGAGCTGGATGAACTTCGGATCATTCGGAAGGCTGAGGGGGTAATTGAGAGGAGTTACAGGGAGGTAGTCACACCTCAGGTGCCGGAAAAAGGTAGATGGGTTACAGTTAGGGGACAGAAAGGGAACAGGCAGACAGTGCAGGGATCCCCTGTGGCCGTTCCCCTCAAAAACAAGTATACCGTTTTGGATACTGTTGGGGGGGACGACTTACCAGGGGTAAGCCATGGGCTACAGGTCTCTGGCACAGAGTCGGTCCCTGTTGCTCAGAAGGGAAGGGGGGAGAGGAGGAGAGCATTAGTCATTGCGGACTCCATAGTTAGGTGGACAGATAGGAGATCCTGTGAGAACGAGAGAGACTCGCGGTTGGTGTGTTGCCTCCCAGGTGCCAGGGTCCGTGATGTCTTGGATCATGTTTTCGGGATCCTTAAGGGGGAGGGGGAGCAGCCCCAAGTCATGGTCCACATAGGCACCAACGACATAGGTAGGAAAAGGGATGGGGATGTAAGGCAGAAATTCAAGGAGCTAGGGTGGAAGCTTAGAGCTAGAACAAACAGAGTTGTTATCTCTGGTTTGTTACCTGTGCCACATGCTAGTGAGGTGAGGAATAGGGAGAGAGAGCAGTTGAACACGTGGCTACAGGGATGGTGCAGGAGGGAGGGATTCAGATACCTGGATAATTGGGGCTCGTTCTGGGGTAGGTGGGACCTCTACAAATGGGATGATCTACACCTGAACCAGAGGGGTACCAATATCCTGGGGGGAAATTTGCTAATGCTCTTCAGGAGGGTTTAAACTAATTCAGCAGGGGGATGGGAACCTGAATTGTAGCTCCAGTGTACAGGAGGTTGAGAGCAGTGAGGTCATGAATAACGTTTCAAGGTTGCAGGAGTGTACCGGCAGGCAGGAAGGTGGTTTGAAGTATGTCTACTTCAATGCCAGGAGCATCCGGAATAAGGTGGGTGAACTTGCAGCATGGGTTGGTACCTGGGACTTCGATGTTGTGGCCATTTCGGAGACATGGATAGAGCAGGGACAGGATTGGTTGTTGCAGGTTCCAGGGTTTAGATGTTTCAGTAAGATCAGGGAAGCTGGTAAAAGAGGGGGAGGTGTGGCATTGTTAGTCAAGGACAGTATTACGGTGGCAGAAGGATGTTTGATGAGGACTCGTCTACTGAGGTAGTATGGGCTGAGGTTAGAACCAGGAAAGGAGAGGTCACCCTGTTGGGAGTTTTCTATAGGCCTCCGAAAAGTTCCAGAAATGTAGAGGAAAAGATTGCTCAGGTGATTCTGGATAGGAGCGAAAGTAACAGGGTAGTTGTTATGGGGGACTTTAACTTTCCAAATATTGACTGGAAACGCTATAGTTCGAGTACTTTAGACGGGTCAGTTTTTGTCCAATGTGTGCAGGAGGGTTTCCTGACACAAGATGTAGATAGGCCAACAAGAGGCGAGGCCACATTGGATTTGGTACTGGGTAATGAACCAGGCCAGGTGTTAGATTTGGAGGTAGGTGAGCACTTTGATGATAGTGACCACAATTTGGTTACGTTTACTTTAGCGATGGAAAGGGATAGGTATATACCGCAGGGCAAGAGTTATAGCTGGGGGAAAGGCAATTATGAGGCGATCAGGCAAGATTTAGGATGCATAGGATGGAGAAGGAAACTGCAGGGGCTGGGCACAATTGAAATGTGGAGCTTGTTCAAGGAACAGCTACTGCGTGTCCTTGAGAAGTATGTACCTGTCAGGCAGGGAGGAAGTGGT